CATTTCCTTATTTAGTCTTCTTTCTTTTCATGGTCCGTAATATTCAAGTCTCTTAAGACATTCAAGTACATTATTTCCACTCCATCAAGTGGTTCGTGTCTTGACAAATTCTATTTGGGGTTCAAGCTATCATTCTTGCAAAGGTCTTCTTCTTCAATCGTCAAATTCGAAGCTCCTGCTCATTCAAACATTTACAAGTGCTTAACTTCCAAGTCCGTCTTCTTCAAGTCTTCTTCTTCAAAGCTTACTCGTCTCAAATCCGTCTTCAAGTCTTCTTCTTCTTCAAGTCTTCTTCTTCAAGTCTTCTTCTCCAAGTCTTCTCTGGAAGGCTCGTCCTCTTCAACAGCAGGTGCTGGGGCTCGATAGCCTCTTCGCAAGTCTTCTCGTAGACCCTTCCAACCAGTGCTGAGCTCTAGCCTTCACACAGCAGGTGCTGGGTCGTAGCTCCACAGCGGTGCGGAGTGCTCTTGCAAGACACGTGATTAAGAGCCCCAACAGCAGTGCTGAGTTCGTAGCCTCAAACAATCGGTTGGAGCATGCTTTCTTGGCCCATCGCTAGTCTGGGGCTCGTAACCTCCAACAGCGGTGAATAGCATCCCAACAAGCAGTTTATTTCTTCGTTATCCTTACTTCAATCTCGTCTAGGGGCTCTAAGCTTCTCTCAAGCATCTAGGTTCTTCAGGTCGTTACTCTTCTTCAAGTCTTTTCTGCAAGTCTCTGCTCTCAAGTCAAGTTCTTACTTCGTCAAAGTCTCTTCTTCAAGTCTTCTTCTTCTTCGAAGTCTTCTTCTTCAAAGTCGTTCTTCTTCAAGTCTTCGTCTTCCAATCTCTTCTTCAAGTCTTCTTCTTCTTAAGTCCCTATCTTCAAGTCTTCTAGCCCTCTTCAAGGCTCTGAATCTTCGTAGTCTCTTCTTCAAGTCTTGCTTAAGCTCTTCCTTCAGTCGTTTTCTGTAAGTCTTCGTCTTCTTAATCTTCCTTCTCACAGTCTTCTTCTGAGTCTCGTTCTCAGTCCTCTCTCAAGTGCTGAGCTCGCTTCAAGTCCTTCTGTCTACAGAGTCTTTTCGTTTCCTTCTCAAATCATCTTCTCAAGTCTTGAGCTCGTAGTCTTCTTCTTCAAAGTCAGGTTCTGAGCTTCTTCAAGTCTTCTCTTCAAGTCTTCTTCTCAAGTCTTCTCTTCAAGTCTGTACTTCATATCTCTTCTTCAACATCGTCTCTTCAAGTCTCTTCTTCCAAGTCTTCCTCTTCAAGCTCGTCCCTTCCAACACAGTGCTCTTTCTAGTCTTCTTCTTCATCTTCTCTCAACTCTTCTTAAGTCTTGTTCAAGTCTTTCTTCTTCTTCACAAGCTTCTTCTTCAGTAGCTTCTCAAGTCTTTCTTCAAGTCTTCTTCTTCAAACGTTTCTGATCAATCTTCTTCCTCAAAGTCTTCTCTTCAAGCTCTCTTCCTTCCAAGCATCTCAGTTCTCTTGAAGCTTCTTCTTCAAGTCTCTTCTTCAAGCCATCCACAGTCATTTCTTCAGTCAAATTCTTTTAAATCTTCTGTCTTCAGTCTCTTCAAGTTCTCAAAGTCTTGTAACTTTATTCAAGCTATTCTTCATTTTCTATAAAGTCTTCTCTTCTAAGTCTTCTTCTTCAAGTCTTCGTTGATTCAAGTTTTTTCTTCAAGTCTTTTCCAAGCTTCTTTTCAAATCTTTATGTGGCAATTCAAGAAATCTTCTTCTTCAAGATCTTCTTTCAATGGGCTCTTCTTCAAGTCTTCCTGTTCTCTTCCCTTTCCTCTATCAACTGATTCTTAATCATTCAAGTCTTCGTCTTTCAAGTCTTCTTTCTTCCTTCGTATCCTCTATTTCTTCAAGTCCTATGCTTCTTCAAGTCTTCTTCTTCATGCCTTCTTCTTCAATCTTCTTCTTCAAGTTTTCTTCTTCATTCTTACAAATCTTCCTTGTCTTTTCGTTTAAGTATTCTTTTACCTTCGTATGCCTTCTATCAATGTCTTTTCCAAGTTCCTGTTCAAGTCTCCTTCTTCTTCTTCAAATGTTCTTCTTCTAAGTCTTTACTAAGTCTGCCTTCTTCTTTTCAATTCTTTGAGTACTTGGAACTTATGTTCTTTCTTCAAGTTTCTTTCAAGTTTCTTCTTTCTTCAAATTCTTAAAGTCTTCCCTTCAGCTTTCTAAGTCTTCTTTTAAGTCTTTCTTCTTCTTAAGTCTTCTTATTCTTTTTCAAGTTTTTCTTCTTCTTCAAGTCTTCTTCTTCAAGTCTTCTTCCCTTTTTCTTCAATCTTCTTTCTCTTCTTTCTTCAAGTCTTCTTCTTCAAGTCTTTTCTTCTTCAAATCTTCTTCTTCAAGTTTCTTCTTCAGATTTCTTCTTCTTCTTCAGTCTTCTTCTTCAAGTCTTCTTCTTCATTCAAGTCTTCTTCTTCAAGTCTTCTTTTTCTTCTTCAAATCTTCTTCTTCAAGTCTTCTTTTCGTCTTCTTCTTCAAGTCTTCTTCTTCTTTTTTCTTCTCTTTTCTTCAAGTCTTTTCTTCAAGTCTTCTCTTCAAGTCTCTTCTTCTTTTTCAAGTCTTCTTCTTCAAGTCTTCTCCCTTTAAGTCTTTTCCAATCTTCTTCTTAAGTCTTTTCGCTTCTTCAGTTTCTTTTTCAAGTCTTCTTCTTCTTTTTTTTCAATCTTTCTTCAAGTTTCTTCTTCAAGCTTCTTCTTCGCTCTTCTCAGGGCTTCTCCTCAAGTCTTCTCCTTCAAGTCTTCTTTTTAAGTCTTCTTCTAAGTCTCTTTCAATCTTTTCTCAATCTCTTCTTTAAGCTTCCCTTCAAAATCTTCTTCTTCAAATTCTTCTCAATCTTCTCTTCAAGTCCTTCTTTCAAGTCTTCTTTTTCAAGTCTTCAGGCTTCTTCTTTAAGTCTTCTTCTTCAAGTCTTCTCTTCAAGCTTCTTCTCAAGTCTTCTTCTTCAAATCTTCTTCTCAAGTTCTGTCTTCAAGTCTTGTTCTTCAAGTCTTCTTCTTCAAGCATCTTCTTTAGGGTTTTTTTTTTCAAGTCTTTCTTCAAGTTTTTTCTTCTGCAAGTCTTCTTTTCAAGCTTCTCTTCAAGTCTTTTCTTCAAATCTTCTCTTCAAGCTTCTTTTCAAGTTTTCTAGTCTTCTTCACAAATCTTCTTCTTCAAGTCTTCTCCCTTTAAGTCTTCTCTTTAATCTTCTTCTCAAGTTTCTTCTTCAAGTCTTCTTCTCAAGTTTCTTCTTCATCAAGTCTTCTCTTCAAGTCTTCTTCTTTTCAAATCTTCTCTTCAAGTCCTTCTTTTCAAGTCTCTTTCTTCAGTTTTTTCTTCTTCAAGTCTTCTTCTTTAAGTCTTTTCTTTTAAGTCTTTTCTTCAAGTCTTCTTCTTCAAGTCTTCTTCTTAAGTCTTCTTCTTCAAGTTTCTTCCTCTTTCGTATTTCTTCTTTCTTTTTCTTGGCCTGTAATTTAGTCCTAGACTTTAAATTTTTCCCCTCCTAACCCGTTTGTGTCAAGTTTGCAATTCATTTTGGGGGTTTCAACTTCAATTCTTTGGAAGGACCGGGGGGCCAATCACGTCAGATTTAGCTTCGACTCAAACAAGTTAAGGTTTTCCAAGTTACCTGCCTCAAGTGCTGGAGGCTCGTCCCTTTCCCAAAACGGTTGCTTAAGGCTCGTTCCTCAACCCGGGTTGGGGGAAGGTCGTAGCCTCCGCAGCAGGTTCTGAGGGCTGTAGCTTCCAAAACAGGTTTCTGGAGGTCGTTTAGCCCCTCAAACAGCAGGGCTTTTCATGCCTCCAGCAGTTTTCTTAATCTACCTCCACAAAATTTGTGTACCTTAAACAAGTTTCTGGCAGGGTTTAGTCCAGAAGGTCTGATATTTACCCCAACAGCTGGTTTGGGGTGTCAGGTCTTTCAAAGCAAGTGGGGAGGTTTACTCAACAATGTTTGGGCTGTTGCCTCATTAGCAGGGCGGGGCTTAGCCATCCCAAAAGCAGGGCTGGAGGTACCTCCAACAAGATGTTTGGATTTGTACCCTTCCCGCAGGTGCTGGAGGCTCGTAGCCCTCCAGCACAGGAGGGAGGCTCGTACCCTCCCAAACGCAGGTGTGAAAGGTCGTAGCCCTCCAACAAGCCCGTGTTGGGGGCTGTAGCTTCCAACAGCAGGTGCTGGGGGCTCGTGCCTTCAACAGCAGGTGCTGGAGGCTCGTAGCCCCAACAGCAGGTGCTGGAGGCTCGTAGCCCTCACAGCAGGTGCTGGAGGTTCGAGCCCTCAGCAGCAGGTGCTGGAGGTCGTTTGCCTCCAACAGCCCGGTGCTGGAGGTCTAGCCTTCCACAGCAGGGCTGGAGGCTCTACCCTCCAGCAGCAGGTGCTGGAGGTTTGAAGCCTCCACAGCAGGTTCTGGAGGCTCGTGCCCCCCCCGCAGGTGCTGGAGGGTAGCCCTCCAACAGCGGGGTGGGGGTAAACCCCCCCAACAGCAGGTTGGATTCGTACCCTCCAACAGAGGTGTGGAGGTTTGTAGCCCCCAACAGCAGGTGGGGGCTCGTAGCCCTCCAAGCAGGGGCTGGGGGTTTTGTAGCCCTCCAAAAAGCAGGGTGGAGGTGAGCCTTTCCCAAAAGCAGGTGCTGGAGGTTTTTTAGCCCCCCAACAGATGTGGGGTTTGTAGCCTCCCAAAAGCAGGTGCTGGAGGCTCGTAGCCCTCCAACAGCAGGTGCTGGAGGCTCGTAGCCCTCCAACAGCAGGTGCTGGAGGCTCGTAGCCCTCCAACAGCAGGTGCTGGAGGCTCGTAGCCCTCCAACAGCAGGTGCTGGAGGTTCGTAGCCCCTCAAGCCAATACCAACATAACAATATTCAGCAAAATGATAGCAATTATAAATTAATGTCAAATGAAACTTCTAGTAAAAAAGATTAATGTAAATAAGTTAATAATAGTATTTTATTTTCATATAAATGTATTTTTGTCTTAATTATTATGAATATTGTTGAATAAGAAGGGATGAATGAGTTGATGTGTGAGTGAACTTATTCACTGGACGGTTATGTGTAAACATTGAATGGTGGCAGATGGTGAGAGAAATTAAGTCTTCCCTCTCAAGGGAGATGCCTTGATATGGGTGAGGGGCTCTTGATTCAAGGAGGTGGCCCTGTTCTTCCCTTTCCTCGGATCAAACCTGATTGTCTTAAATTCATAAGTGTATTTAGTACCTGGTTTTGCTGGCCTTCGGGTATCTCTTATTTCTCAAGTGAGGTGCCTTGATATCAGTGATGGGCTCTTGATCTATGGAAGTGGACCTTTTCTCCACTTCCCCTCCCTTGGATTAAACCTGGTTTGCCCTTTATTCATAAGTAACTACTGTCTGGCTTTTGCTGGGTTTAGGTATTTTTACCCCTCAAGTGAGATGCCTTGATATCATGATGGGCTCTTGATCCATGGAAGTGGACCTGTTCATCTCCTTCCTCTTCCCGGGATCAAACATGATTGCCTTCCATTCGTAAGTGTAACTACTGCCTGACTTGTGTTCGGCTTTGAGTAACTTGAGAACCTTGATGTTAGTATAGGGCTCTTGATCCAAGGAAGTGAACTTGTCCTCCCCTTCCTTACATTGAACCTAAATGCCTCCCATTCCCCTCAGATGCAATATGATCCCTACGAGTTTGGAGCTCCCCATGAATGTAATGATATAGATTTACACAATACAATTTTTTTTCTTTGCAAAGTTTACGATGTATTATTTACATTTAATAAAATGTTGTTAAGTACAAAGAAAGCAACTAACATTCCTGGGCATTTTGGGCTCTCAGGACACGCATACATTTGTTAGTAATACAACAATGATACATTATGTAGCTTTAACCCAGGATAACTGTATTATTATTATTATAATCAAAAAGAAGCACTAAGCCACAAGGACTATACTGGATAACTGTAAAACTGAAAATTATGTATTGAAATACTTTACTAAATGACTTTGTCATTCAGTAATATACAGGAAGGTCAGGTCAGGTCAGGTCAGGTCAGGTTCCGGGCTACTGCTGTAAAGCAAAAATCACCATAAATTTAATAACATGTTTACACTATCATATATTAAGTGAACAATATTATTATTATTATAATCAAAAAGAAGCGCTAAGCCACAAGGGCTATACAGCGCTGCAAGTGAACAATAGAACTAGGCCTAAAAAATGAATATTCACTAACACAATTACTTACCTTAAAATATTTTTGTTCTTAGCTTATAATGAGTGGTGAATATATTTATTATAGGAAGTCTGAATAAACCATACCACGGGCGGCATTTGAACCCGCGGTCAGAGAGTCTCAAAACTCCAGACCGTCACGTTAGCCGTGGTGGCCAGGTGCTAAAGCACACGCTTCACACTATTTTTGATGTCCAGTGTAATGGGGAGAGGCCCATCACTTTGGTTTCATCAGTAAAATATTCTGGGAATCCCCTTTGACCCCATCATGTCAGAGAATTGATAGGGGAACAGTGTAGTAAAGAAAGTAATGCCAGACTGAAGTTCCCTGTATAGACAATCACAGGTGTCTCCTACTGAGCACAGTGTCTACCTACTGAGACTCAGTGTCTACCTACTGAGGCCACATGTGCCTACCTACTGGGCTTCGCAGACCCTATGTCTAGCCCCTATGTTTTACGCTATGCTCTTCATGGTACTCTGCCTTAAGACAAAAAAAACTGAAAGAATAGACTGCAATTCACCCAGAACAAAATCGTAAGATTCACATACCTTGGGCAGGGACCAAGAGAACAAGTAGGCCAGAATAGAATTAACAGCATTGATATGCAGAATGTTGAAGACAGAGTAAAAACAACTGAGCAAATCATGTTTATAAAATTGCTCACAAACAAGTGTCCAGAATATCTTGCGGTCAATTTGTGGTCAAGGTTTGGAACCAAAGGCAATCATAGTACTATGAGGGGAGACAACAATCATAGTATGGGGAGACAACAATCAGTACTGAAGGGGGAGAGAAGAAGCACAACTTTGTAGTACCCCCACAGTCATAGGCCAGGCTTCAAACACCTTTTAATTTGTACAGCAATAAAGGAATGGTAACAGACCTGGTCCTGCACATGGTCAAAGCCAGTCATAACATGAAACCAGTTCAAGGAGAAAGTGCCAAACAGAGTCAGATGAATGTAGCAACAGAAAGGTAGGGGAATGATTTTTCTATTTTTTTAAGCTAACATAACGTGTAAATTTTACCTTATTCCTAGTAATGACCCACGTTATTGTAATAGTCTTTTTAGTATGATAATAAGATGTTATCTTCATTAGAGAATAAAAGAAAATAATTAATAGCCTTTATATTATAATAATAAGGTAAAAAGGACCCCCCCAATGGAAATAAGGTCCTGGCTGTCAGACTTTTTTGGGTTATCCTAGGCTCTCTACACATATGCTATGTATGATAAATCTTGAAACTGTATTTATGTGTATACCTAATAAACTTACTTACCACCGAGGGTCCGGGGTTCGATTCCCGAGGGGTGGAAATTTTTTCAACCGTTTCCTTACACCTGTTGTCCGTTCACCTGCAGAAAATAGGCTGGGTTTAGTCGACTGGTGGGGTCCATCCTGGGGGACAAGATTAAGGCCCCCCAAGGAAATATTAGACAGTCCTCGTGCGCACTGACTTTCTTGGGTTATCCGGGGGGCTAACCCTCCAGGGTTAAAAATCCGAACGAAACTTATCTTTTTGTATCTTTTCTTAATTGAAAACTGCTGCTAAAATTGTTAAAATCCATCACTACTGGCACTCTGACCACCTTTTTGTCCAAAATTGTTTTAAAATTTGACACAATTAAAATTCAATCACCTTTTTTCTTTTAAACTATTTTTGGTGTTCAAAAATCAAAAAGAAGACAGAGTACATAGTCGAGAACAAGAGAGAATGGGGAAATACCAGCATAAAGGAAGCGGATGAGTGGACAGAAGGCAGTCACAGCCTTGATATTTCTTGTAAATTCACCCCAAGTCAGTATTTTAAAGGTGAGACTCATTATCTTGCTTCTTTACCCTAGAAATGTAAAAATTAATTCACTTCTTTACTTAGGAAACATTGTATAATTATCGTGTTTGTTTGCTTAGAAATATTGTATAATTATCTTGTTAGTTTACTTATGAACACTATACAATTATTTGCTGTTTTACTTAGGAAAATTGTATAATTATCTTGCTTTTTTTGCTTAGAAATGTTTAATTATTTTGCTAGTTTACTTAGTATTTTTACTTAGGAACATTGTTTTATTATCTTGTTAGTTTACTTAGAAAAATTTTATTATCATCATATTAGTTTGCTTAGGAACACTGTATAATTATCTTGTTAGTTTACTTAGAAGCATTGCATAATTTATCTTGTTTGTTTGGGAACATGCATAATTACTTGCTTGTTTGGGAACACTGCAAAATTTATTTTGCTTGCTTGGGAAAACATTGTATAATTATCTTGCTTGTTTGGGAGCATTGTACAATTATCTTGCTTGGGTGGGAAACAACCGATGTGTTAAAAAAATTAATAGTTACATAATTAGTAACTATTCACTCTACAAATTATATTGTTACTCCTGTGTTTTTTATCTTTCTTTTTTAGCACACATTCTGGGGAATTTTATTGAAGGCTGTCTGTCTGCTCTGCCATGGGAAATATTTTTTTTACAACCTGTCTTATGTATAAAGGGCGTAATTGCTTTTTTTAATTTCACAATGGGGTGAGTAGTTTTCTCTTCAACAAGTATTTTGCCTACAAAAATTCATTAACTTTAAATTTATATTGCAGAATTTCTTTTAATTTTTTTTTATAAATGAACTTAGACGTTATCCAATTTTGTGCAATAATAAAAAAATGAATCAGCACTAAATTTAAAAAAATTATATTTTAAATTTCAAATTAAAAATTAAATTAAATTCATTCAAATTTTATTTCTATAAGGATTACAATGCGAGTTTACAAAAATTTGGGGTTTTTTTTTTTGGTTTAATGTAAAAATTTTGGATTACAGGTTCCCACTAAACGTTTGCAGGTTTGGCATTTCGGGCAAACTTTTTTTAAATTTTAATTGAAAAATATTGAAAATTTTAGGGGTAATTTGGTATTAGGGGCTAGGACAAAAATTATTTTTTGTGATTTAGCAATGTGAATGCTTTTGTTTTGGCACGAAAATTGTTTCAGTATTGGAGATCACAGGATTCTTTTTTTTTTAAGTGAGATTAATTTTTCTGTTTTGGTCAAGTGATGACGATTGTAAGTTGAACCCCAGGTGGATTCGTGAAGTTATTTTGACGGGGTGTATCAGGGGTAAGATGTTTTCTAATGGTAGTTTTGAAGGGAGAATGTGTCTGCTTTTCTAGATTCCAGGTAGGGTACCAGAATGTAGAAAACCCCTGCATAGGTCATACAAGATGATGGTGAAGGGGCCTTAATCCGGGAAATTTGGGAGTGCCTTCCACTTCCCAAATTAAAACCTTATTGTTTCCCATTCCCCCTTACTTTTAATAAAATAATAAATAGTAAATACGCAAAGTAAAATTGAATAGCTTTGTTCCCCACATTTTTTTTTTTTTTTCCGGAAAATAAGTTTAACATCGCCTTTATACATAATTTGAAAAATTTTAGTTTTTTTTATAATAAGTTATTAAAATTTTTAACCCGGATTTATATGGCCAGTTTCTAAAGTAAGATAGTTTTTACTTAGATTGATGTTCATTATAGGGGGAAAAATATACAGTAAATAGATAAAAAAACAATAGAGTTGACATTTTGCTTTTTTAACTCATAATATAATTCCCGAGGAGGGGTCTTCACATACCCATCACGATCTCTAATATCATCAAAAAAAAAATCACCCTCTTCCCCAAATCCTTCAGTCTTCCTTTCTTTATCTGGATTGTTAGATCTGTCACACAAAAAGCTGAGAGTACTGCCGCAACCTCTTACCCCCCTTACAACGTCCCTCTCTCAATGTGGGCCCTAATGGTCTCTCTGCTGCCCCAAAAAATTCAAAACTTCAGAGTTGAGTAGTATTGTGGAATGGGAGGGGGTGAGAAGTAGCAGATTTGTCAGCTTGCACTAGGTCCTCAAGTTACAAAC